TTTAGGTAGAACCTGCAGGAACAGAGAGGTGACCTTTCCATCATATACTAGCGGTTCACTCTGTGATTGACTTATGCTGGCCCTTTGAAATTTACCATTTTATACTGAGGACACACAACAATGGGACTGAGGGCTGTGGTACAGTTGTTCTTCTTTGGATCATTCTCCTTTGATATCCCCCCCTCCTCCTACCATTGAGTCCTTTTATTATTTATTTCTTCTCTGCCTATTCCCTTATTTCTCATTCTCCTTCTTGTGCATCCGCACAATGGCTTGGGGTCCCCACACTGAAGAGGGAAGTAAATTAGTTTGATTGGGATAGGAATTGATTGAGTAGACCCTACACTATGACAGCAGTCAGACGAGAGGTGTTTTCTGCAGATACCAGCTAGGGTTGCTGCTTATTTAGTGCTAACTGGATACCTATACTAAAGTTATACAATTATATTATTGGGATTATCAGTCATTGAAACCCAATTGTCTACATACCAATGTACTTTATGTGTATTTACATTCTAAAAAGCAACAACCAAGATTTGCTTATTTGTTTCTGCAATGACGCAAAAAAATGAAACAATAAACATTATAAAAAAAAATAGTTTCACTGATTAGTCCTAAATGTTAAATGCACTGAACAAAATTATAAACGCAATACTTTGGTTTTTGCCCCCATTTTTCATGAGCTGAACTCAAAGATCTAAGACTTTTTCTATGTACACAAAAGGCCTATTTCTCTCAAATATTGTTTACAAATCTGTCTAAATTTGAGTTAGTGAGCACTTTTCCTTTGCCGAGATAATCCATCCACCTCACAAGTGTGGCATATCAACATTATTGCACAGGTATGCCTTAGTTATTCTTAACTATTCTTTTTGAAAGTACTCTGTAATTTAATTAATATTTACATCATGAAAAAATCCTAAATTTAAATATGTTACTGGGAAAGTAAATTATTTTTGTAGTTAGTACTATGTCAAGGAATTTGAGTAGCAGGCTCAGCCAGCTAAGGAAAAATCTTTTTTTGGCAGAGAATAATCTCCAAAATAATGTATTTCCTTACTGATATTCAAAGCTTGGAGAGAATCCACAGAAAATATTCTTTATTATGCCTGGCAAGAAGTATTCAAGTGCAAAAATGAAGGCAAAAACTTGCCAGAGCAGTTTATGAGGTTTCACGATTTAGGGCAAAATAGATTAAGTCCAAACTTGTAGAATGTTTTCAATTTAAAATGTGAAATTTACTTTAAATTCCCAATAAATCATACTTAAGTAAATAACCTTGCCTGAAATTGAGAAGGGGATTAACCCCATAATGACCGTGCACGAACAGGGTACGTCAGACAAAAAACGGTTGATAACGATATTTCAAATTCATATGCTTTTTTTTCAAATAGCAGTGGCATACTAAGGGGGGGGGCAAAAGGAACGGTTCGCCACTGGTGCCACTCACTAGGGGGGTGCCCGGGGCAGACTGTGTCTGGTCCTGGGTCACTGACCGATGACCCGACACCGGGAGGGGGCCCAGCGGCTTACTCGATATGCTCCTCCTGTGCCCATCGGAGACACCGGTCTGCAGCTCCGCAGTGTGCAGAGCTGCAGACCCTGCTACTCGATCAATCAGAGCGTTGCCGCGAGTTACCATGGCAACGCTCTGACTGGGTCTCGCTAGATTCATGGTCTGCATGGTATTAAGGTATTTAGTCCCCTCCCCTCCCCATCCCTCACACCATCACCCCTCTCCCATCACCCTCCCTCATAATCACCCCCCCTCCCTCATACCATCACCCCCCCTCACACATCACCCCCTCCCTCACATCACCCCCTCATTCTCATCATCACCCCTCTCTCCCTTTCACATCACCCCCCTCTCCCTCACCTATCACCCCATCCAGGGCCGGATTAAGAGCACACTGGGCCTGGTGCTGACAAATATGATGAGCCTAATTACGGAATCTTATCGACCAAAAACACTAAAACAGTCATACCTCCCAAGTGTCATGTATCTGATGGAGATTGTGTTGGAGGGAAACTCATAGGATGCAGCTATAAGAAAACACATACTCTATGCTAATCTCTCTCTAATTTATGCTTTCATCTTTCAAGTAAATCCATAATCCCTAACAGCAGTCTCCAGTGAAGCAGGAAGTCAATGGGTGGGGTAAAAAGGTGGGCCACTGGTGCAAATCACGTGACAAGAACTGCCAAAAGGGGAGAACATGCCCAAAAAGGGGACATGTCTGTCCAAAGAATTTGAAGGACAGCCTGGCATGAATGCATGTCAGGCTGCCTGCCAATCCTACAGGCTGTCCAACTAAGGGCATACTATGCAGGCAGCACCATGAGCTTGACATAAATGCATCTAATGATGCGCTCACTCCATGCTTTCTAAGGACTGTCCCCTAGCACTCGCTGGTCCACTTGTCTCCTTGCCTTCTTACTAGCAGGCAGAAGTTCCTGATATATAGTCTAAGACAGAGAAAAGGTGTATGTAGTGAGTGTAGAAGAAAGGGGACATGCCACAGTGTTAGAGAGACCAGCGTCTGCATTACCTAAACTAATTTTATTGTCAGCTAGTCCACACAAGTTTTGTTCCCATACATCCCTCTTAAGCTTCCAAACTTAAAGGGACACTATAGTCACCAGAACAATTACAGCTTATTGTATTTGTTCTGGTAAGTAGAATCATTCCATTCAGGCCTTTTGCAGTAAACACTGTCTTTTCAGATAAAATAACTCCACTGGCCACTCCTTAGATGGCTGCTAGAGATGCTTCCTGGGGCAGTACTGCCATTCAGTGTCTCCACCCTCTGCATGCAGACACTGAACTTTCCTCATAGAGATGCATTGATTCAATTTATTTTTATGAGGAGATGCTGATTGGCCAGGGCTATGTTGGACTTGTGCTGGCTCTGCCCCTGATCTGCCTCAGCCAATCCTATGGGGAAGTATTGTAATTTGCTCAGACCACCACTTCTGATGATGTGAGCAGACTGTCAATTCAGAGGCAGAGCCAGCAGCTGCAGACTTGAATACAAGTTATATTTTACTGTAAGAAAGCAAGAAGGGGCCAGGATGGTGGTTTTAACATAATAGGGTCAGAAATACATGATTGTGTTCCTGGCCCTATAGTGCTCCTTTAAGCAAGAGTATGTGAAGAGTAGTTAGGGTTGCCACCTTTCTTGGAAAAAAATACCAGCCTTAATCATTTGTATAATCACAAGGAGTGACATCAGAGAACATTCTGTAAAATCACCAACAACCTGCTCACAGTTTGATTCTGCTGTATAGATGGATTTCTCCCAGTGTCTCAGTCTCGCAAGTTACCCAGTGTCTCAGTGTCCCTATGTGTCACAGTGTCAGTGTCCCCATGTTGCCCAGTACCCTAGTCTCACAGTGTCTGTGTCCCCATTTCTCCCAGTGTCCCCATTTCTCCCAGTGTCCCAATGTCTCAGTGTGTCCCCATGTCACTAGGATACTGGGTACACAGTGAGACATGGGGACACTTAGAGACATGGGGACACTGAGAGAACTGGGAACACTGAGAGTCCCGGGGACACTGAGACATGGGGACACTGGGAGACATTTAGGGAAACTGGGAGAAATTGGGACACTGAAACATTTGGGGACACTAGGGACACAGAGACATGGGAACACAGACACTGGGAGACTGGGAGACATGGGGACACTGGCTGGGAGACAGACACTTGGGGACACTGGGAGACATGGGGACATTGGAACATATAGGGACACTGGGAGACATGGAGACACTAGGCACACTGAGACACTAGGAACACAGACACTGGGAGACATAGGGACACTGAAACATTTGGGGACACTAAGATACTAGGGACACAGAGACATGGGACACAGGGAGACTATGGGATACAGACACTGGGAGACTTGGGGACAGTTGTGGACATAGACATGGGGACACTGGAATATATAGGGACATGGGGACACTAGGCACCATGGGCGTCCGCAGGAATTTTTCCAGGGGGGGGCATAATTGTAATGACATCCATGCTTGGTACCTTTTTGACAGTGTCATGAAAGGGAAGGGGCATAGCCATTATCACATAAAGCCAGGGTGAATAGCGTTTTCACAACTATGGTGTCAGGAATATATGTTTGTATATAGTGTTCCTTTAAGCAAATTAAAGGACATTTCTGGTCACCATAACAACTTCACCTAAATGAAAATGCTATGATGCCAGGAAGGGGTGCTCGCTTTCCTTTAAGGGGTTAAATCGCTCTCAAATGGTTTAACCCCAAAGGCTTCCTCCAGCTTCAGGTCGCTCAGTGGTATTTGGCTTCTGAAACAGAGTATCAGGAAGTGCAGATTGACGTCAGGCATGGGTGCCGCTGATTGGCTAGAGTGGTCAGTTGACGCTCTAAGCCAATCGCTAGTTCCCGGTTCATAAAATATTTTTACTTTTTTATGAATGGGGAGCTACTGATTGGTTTAGAGTGCCAGCTGACCGCTCTAGCCAATCAGCAACACCCCTACCCAACGGCACTCTGTGCTTCCTGACACTCAGTAAATAAAAGTGAACACATTAACACCGATATTTTTTTTACCTTTGGAGATGAGAAGGTCCAGCGTTTCCCTGCCAGGCCCAGGTACCAAAGCCTTATGATGTGGTGTCCAGAATAAAGTGGAGGATTCACTTCATTTGTCCTTCCTGCTCCAATCTCCTTTTCCTCTCCTTCATTTGACAGTCTTTTTTTTTCTTCTGACACTGTTTTCTATCCTTGGCCCCTTCTGCTCTTTTACCTTTCTGCTACTTTCTGCTTATTTTGCGCCCTTCTGCTCCTTTCTCATTCTAATTCCTTTCTGCTCCTTGCAGACCCTTTCTTCTCCCTTTTCTACTTTACCTTTGTGCTCCTTCTGATTCTTTCTGCTCCTTTACCTTTGTGCTCCTTGCTGTCCCTTTCTGCTCCTTGCAGGCCCTTCCTGCTCATTCTCCTACTTTATGTTTGTGCTCCTTCTGCCCCTTCCAGCTCATTTCTGACCCTTTC